CTTTGAAAAATGTTTTTCAAAGTTTGGTAAAATTTTGGTAGATGTTTGTTGAAAATAGGAATAGGTAAATTCACTTTAGTCATTGCACTTTAGGGTATTTTCAAAGATTAGTCCCTAAGTTTCTACTATAAATACCCTTACCCATTTAGCTTCAAAATCATCCCAAAACATTTCTTTCTTCCTATACTAGAGAGCTTTCTTGTGAGTAGTGAGTGTTTTGTAAACACCTGTAAATTTTCTCTCTTAGTAAAAGATCTGCAGCAGCCCAGAGACGTAAGCATAATTGGCTGAACTCCGTTATCAATTTTCGGGTATTATTTTTCCGCTTTTATTTTGCATTCTCACTAACCTGGTTATAGGGAAATTACTTGTACTCGGTTTATTTTCCTAACACCTTCCACAGATGGATTCGTTCATTTAATCATCATTTTCCTTCTGTCTTATTGATTGAATAAATTAGTCTATGTATGTATTGGGGAAGGTCAAATGTTGAAGACGCCCCAAAAAAAACACCAACTTAAAGTTTAAAGTGCTTCATATTCTCTGCTTACTTGGAGAGTCGAAACAGTTTTTTCGATGTGGCTGTTATACCTGTGTGTCCACCAAATGTTGCGGAAGACGACTATCGGATAGAGTAAAATCGCAATTGATAATTTGAAAAAATAAAAAATGAAGATAAAGAAGACACAAAATTTACGTGAAAAACCCTTAAATAATATAGGGTAAAAACCACGGGCAACGGTAGAAGAATTTCACTATGAGAAAATAGGAATTACAACCTCTCTCGATCTACTAAGGAGAAAACAATGATAATTCTCTCTTGATAAAAAAGGAGAAAACAACTCTCAAAAAACTCTATAAATTCTCTCTAGTATTGGAAGAAAGCTAGAATGCTTTGGGATTTATACCAAAGACAACATAGCAGATTTCATGACGAAGGCGATCAATACCGATAAATTTACCTGGTGTCGATCCTCTTGTGGCCTGTCAGAAATGTAAGCAACATGATGGTACAAGGTAGAAAGAATGGTGTGAAGATATGATTGTTTCAATCAAATCTTCAAGTGGGAGATTCATTGTTGAAAATTAAACCAACTTTCGGTGGAAAGTTGGATTTAATTAATCCACCGAATGACAAATGTCAAAAAGGGTGGCTTTGTGTTAAAAATTAACAATGGTAGAAATGCACTTTTAGTCATTGTAATTTAGGGTATTTACAAATTAGTCCTTAAGCTTCAACTATAAATACCCTAGCTCATTTAGCTTCAAAACCATCTCAAAGCATTCTACCTTTCTTCCAATACTAAAGAGAATTTAGAGAGTTTCTTGAGAGTTGTTTTCTCCTTTTTTATCAAGAGAGAATTATCATTGTTTTCTCCTTAGTATATCGAGAGAGGTTGTAATTCCTATTTTCTCATAGTGAAATTCTTCTACCGTTGCCCGTGGTTTTTACCCTATATTATTTAAGGGTTTTCCACGTAAATTTTGTGTCTTCTTTATCTTCATTTTTATTTTCTCAAATTATTAGTTGCGATTTTTCTCTATCCGAAAGCCGTCTTCCGCAACAATTGGTATCCGAGCCAGATTAGAGTGTGTAATATCTACTTATTGTCTTTGTGGTTGCCACCAAAAGGTGGATCCTCCAACATAAGAAAGTAAGAAGTTATTACCCATTCTTTGAAGGTTCCAGAGAACTATTCACGATAGTGAAATAGTGGGAGCTATCCGTAAACGAAGCTATGGAAACAAAATTTGATATTGAAAAATTCAATGGGAGAAATTTCTCATTGTGGAAATTGAAGATGAAGGTCATCCTGAAGAAAGACGGTTGTCTACCAGCTATCAATGAAAGGCCGGTGGATTTCACAGATGACAACAAATGGATCGAAATGGACGGGAATGCTATGGCAAACTTCCATCTAGCATTAGCAGATGAAGTATTGTCAAGCATCGAGGAGAAGAAGACAGCTACACAAGCCAGTAAAGAAGCAATTTGGTTGAAGATGCTATTGGAGGAGCTTGGGCACAATCAAGAGTTTGTTTCTCTGTTTTGTGACAGTCAAAGCGCCTTCCATCTAGCAAGGAATCCAATATTTCATTCAAGGACAAAACACATACGAGTTCAATACCATTTCATTCGTGAAAAGGTGGAAGAAGGGATGGTAGATATGCAGAAGATTCATACCAAAGACAACATAGCAGATTTCATGACGAAGGCGATCAATACCGATAAATTTACTTGGTGTCGATCCTCTTGTGGCCTGTCAGAAACGTAAGCAACATGATGGTACAAGGTAGAAAGAATGGTGTGAAGATATGATTGTTTCAATCAAATCTTCAAGTGAGAGATTCATTGTTGAAAATTAAACCAACTTTCGGTGGAAAGTTGGATTTAATTAATCCACCGAATGGCAAATGTCAAAAAGGGTGGCTTTATGTTGAAAATTAACAATAGTAGAAATGCACTTTTAGTCATTGTAATTTAGGGTATTTACAAATTAGTCCTTAAGCTTCAACTATAAATACCCTAGCTCATTTAGCTTCAAAGCCATCTCAAAGCATTCTACCTTTCTTCCAATACTAAAGAGAATTTAGAGAGTTTCTTGAGAGTTGTTTTATCCTTTTTTATCAAGAGAGAATTATCATTGTTTTCTCCTTAGTATATCGAGAGAGGTTGTAATTCCTATTTTCTCATAGTGAAATTCTTCTACCGTTGCCCGTGGTTTTTACCCTATATTATTTAAGGGTTTTCCACGTAAATTTTTTGTCTTCTTTATCTTCATTTTTATTTTCTCAAATTATTAGTTGCGATTTTTCTCTATCTGAAAGTCGTCTTCCGCAACAATTGGTATCCGAGCCAGATTAGAGTGTGTAATATCTACTTATTGTCTTTGTGGTTGCCACCAAAAGGTGGATCCTCCAACATAAGAAAGTAAGAAGTTATTACCCATTCTTTGAAGGTTCCAGAGAACTATTCACGATAGTGAAATAGTGGGAGCTATCCGTAAACGAAGCTATGGAAACAAAATTTGATATTGAAAAATTCAATGGGAGAAATTTCTCATTGTGGAAATTGAAGATGAAGGTCATCCTGAAGAAAGACGGTTGTCTACCAGCTATCAATGAAAGGCCGGTGGATTTCACAGATGACAACAAATGGATCGAAATGGACGGGAATGCTATGGCAAACTTCCATCTAGCATTAGCAGATGAAGTATTGTCAAGCATCGAGGAGAAGAAGACAGCTACACAAGCCAGTAAAGAAGCAATTTGGTTGAAGATGCTATTGGAGGAGCTTGGGCACAATCAAGAGTTTGTTTCTCTGTTTTGTGACAGTCAAAGCGCCTTGCATCTAGCAAGGAATCCAATATTTCATTCAAGGACAAAACACATACGAGTTCAATACCATTTCATTCGTGAAAAGGTGGAAGAAGGGATGGTAGATATGCAGAAGATTCATACCAAAGACAACATAGCAGATTTCATGACGAAGGCGATCAATACCGATAAATTTACTTGGTGTCGATCCTCTTGTGGCCTGTCAGAAACGTAAGCAACATGATGGTACAAGGTAGAAAGAATGGTGTGAAGATATGATTGTTTCAATCAAATCTTCAAGTGGGAGATTCATTGTTGAAAATTAAACCAACTTTCGGTGGAAAGTTGGATTTAATTAATCCACCGAATGGCAAATGTCAAAAAGGGTGGCTTTATGTTGAAAATTAACAATAGTAGAAATGCACTTTTAGTCATTGTAATTTAGGGTATTTACAAATTAGTCCTTAAGCTTCAACTATAAATACCCTAGCTCATTTAGCTTCAAAACCATCCCAAAGCATTCTAGCTTTCTTCCAATACTAGAGAGAATTTAAAGAGTTTCTTGAGAGTTGTTTTCTCCTTTTTATCAAGAGAGAATTATCATTGTTTTCTCCTTAGTAGATCGAGAGAGGTTGTAATTCCTATTTTCTTATAGTGAAATTCTTCTACCGTTGCCAGTGGTTTTTTACCCTATATTATTTAGGGGTTTTCCACGTAAATTTTGTGTCTCTTTTATCTTCAATTTTTATTTTCTCAAATTATCAGTTGCGATTTTGCTCTATCCGATAACCGTCTTCCGCAACACCAAATCCAAAATATATGACTGTTGATGATGATGAGATCAAATTGACAATTTCAACCCCGTACCATATTAACATAATACTATTGTCTTCCGTGTAATGAAAACAATATCACGCATGTTGATGTAACAAAGTGGAGAGGGTGATAGATGGCACTTGGATTAATTGTTAAAAGGAGTGATGGATTTTGTTTTGTCTCAGCTACCCACATCCACATGCACTAAGAATAAACCATCTAGTTTAAGTTAAAGTTTAACTACTACCACAAAAGACATCAGCTCCACCATATCCATGTCTCCATCCAAATGCAAACCCTACTTGACTAAAAACAAATTATTATGTCACTTGTTTTTTTCAGTTGCTGAATGGAATGGAATGAAAACTAATAACGCACAAGGTAAACAATCAAACAAAAGGCTCGGCCTGATCAAACATGAGTTTGAAACTATATACTCCCCGTTATTATAATACTATCAAAAAGTTATAAAAGAACTTCAACAAAACCCGACCCAGATGATCCATGTTTCCGTCCCAAGAATACTCAAAAAGAAAAAACACGACCCTGAATCTGTAATTAGAAGGAAAAAAAGTAAAAGGCTATTAGCCGTACTGATCTTTCATTTACAGGAAACAAAACCCACATTAGAAGATTTTCTCTGAATTGATGTCCTCAAGTCATAGTATAAAATAGCGGTTCGTAGATGCGGTGTCACGGTTGCGGAAGTCGCGGACGTTACGTAACGTGTTGCAGCTGTCGCGGGCGTGATTTCTCCCTTAAAAATCACAATACTCTTAAAATATTTTATCGCGTTACGTTAATATTACGTCGCTGTGGCCTTCAAAACCGTTACGATGCGGCCGCAATTTAATACCATGCCTCAAGTTGAACCAGATTAAAACCAACCCAACGACAGCAGCTGGACAGACAATAAAAGATGCAATTTTCTTCATGTGAGGCTGAAAGTTCGATGGCTTTCTGTATAGAGAAGGCTAAAAATAATGAATTTCCATTTTAGAGATTTTAAGCTGTCTACCTTTGGACGTTTACAACAATGGCTGACTAAAGATCATTTTGGAGGAGCGCCATAATCTGGAAGATCAGGCCATTGATTTGGATTCAAAGAAGCACCCGTAGTTTTGCTCGTGTTTGAGTTCCCAGGGCTGCTTGTGCTGCTGTTGCTGTTGTTGATAGTCCACAAAGCCGCTTCAGAAACTGTAGGGTTATGGTTGTTGATGAAACTTTGATGCCAATTCTGCTGAGATGACTTACCTGCAGCAGGCCTGCTTGACTGAATCAACCTTTCTTGATCAGATGGGAACATGTTTACAGTCTTTTGATCTCTATCGCCCATAGCAAAGAATTGGGTTTGCTGAACTGACTGATGATGTTGTGACCCGAAAGAAGGGACACCATATCCCTGTAAAAGACCCAAATTTGAAGAACCACCCAGGTCACCACCAATGCTTAGAGCTTGATTAAAAGGTTGTGGATGTGGTTGGTTCATCGACTGAATTGCAGCCAAAGGAGACAAGAATCCAGCACCAGGGTAAAATGATCCCACTGAAGAAATAGCAGACGATGAAGCCAAACTACTGGTTTCCTTGGTACTCAGAGCAGCACCTGCACTGATCACAGGACTAGAAGAGATGATACTTTGTGGTGATGCCATGTTGTGTTGCTGAGGTATCTGTGGATGAGACCTTGAGTTTTCACCGGGAGAAGAAACCTTTGTTCGCTTCCCTTTCCTGCAACCACCTCCTACAGGCACGTTCCTTAGTGTTCCACCTTGGGTCCAATACCTTCGACAAGCCTTGCAGAAATAACGAGGCTGGGAGAGACTGTAATTGTTGTAATAACAAAACTTTGTATTAAGAGAGTCGCAACGAGGGCACTTTTGAGGTGGGTTCTGCTGATGCTGATTCTCTGCCGTCAATCTCTGATCTTGCTGCTTCATGCCTTTTTCACTCCCTCTTCCTCCTCTATCTTGCTGCATCACACTATCTATTGAAGCTGCCTCTTCCTTCCGATGCTGATTTGTAGAACCCTTCTCCGTTAATCTGATATTGAACTGAAATTAACCTGTGTTTACTTGGGTTTCGTGCATGCTGGTCTTGAGATGAGTCTTGAAAGAGAAAGAGAGGCGTTCCAGACATAAAGTCTATTAAAACTCGTCTCTACGTGTCTATTTCTGGCTCTTGAGAATCTCCAGTATACAAACAAAACTACGGCGATCGTTACTTGTCTAATTACCTATAACCCTAACCACCAACCCGCCTAGACAAAACCATGCTCTTCCTCAACTCTGAATTACTTTTTCATTTTTTTTCTAAGAAAAAAAAACAAACAACCGATAATCAAGAATCTGAATTTATAAAAGTATCCCCTTAAAACCCAACGAAAAATCTTGCCAGATTTCCATCTCCACTAAGTATATATAAATTTATACATACACTTTCGAATGTGTAGAAAGCTGAGGAGTAGCTGACCTGTTTTTACGAGAGAAGGGAATCTGTACGTGTCGGGCGTGGAAAAAGTCCACTATGAGAAAGATGTTTTAAGAGACAGAGGAATAGGTTGGTTTGAGTTCAGTAGTCATCTCAAACAAAACACACTGCTTCACCTGATCGATCATCATCAAGGTCATTAGAAGTGCATGAAATATTGCCGCCAAACCTTGAATCAGTAATCTTTAATATGTGTTTTTGGGGGACAGACAAAGAACCCGAGGTGAGGCCTAATAAGAGAGAGAGAGAGAGCGGGAGGGAGGGAGGGAGGGACAGTGAATTTAAGAGAAATTATAGAGGAGTGACAACATGATAGTGAAGTGACCAATAAGCATTGGGCAGGCAGATAGGCGGCGCGGCCAAAGTGAAGGGTGGCGTGGCGGTCGCCAATGGTGTGGTGGGCTGTATCAGACACCTTAACTGTATTCTGTTTTCTTCTCACTTCATCTCTCTCTCTCATTCCACTTTCTTAATTCTGCCTGAATGATGTCGCTATCCAGAGTCTTCCATTCTCTATCTTCTTCTTTTTCTAGCAAATCTTCTATTCTCTACTACGATTATTCTATGCATTTTTTCCATTATTTGTTTATTGTATTAGTTCTTATCTTATTGGAGGATTATGTTGGTAACTTTGACGCCTCTCTCGTTTATATCGTTTATCTTTATGTGTTTTACATTATTTATGAATCACGCTACTTATTAATTTAATTAAGTTTTATTTTACCTTATTTTCATTTTAATTCAAATTATAGCATTTAATAATATTAATATCAAAGTAAATAATCTCTGGGATACGTAGTTAAAAATTCTTAGTTGATATTTTTTTCCTTTTAAATTGTAGGTTTAACATTTATTAGAATATTAAAAAGATATTGATATAAAATTAAAATTTTATGCTAAAACATCTTAATTCGATATTTAATTATTTATTAATACTATTTGTGTTAAGAGTAAACAAATTTCATTGGATAAATCAATATATACTAATGTCGAATTAATAATTTATCTCACAATACCAATGAATTGATTTAAGTGGTAAGCAGTTTGATATCGTTTTAGCAAGTCTTGAGCTCGAGTCCTTGTGCACGTAGAAAATCATCGTTGGGAGTCTCGCCCATTAAAGGCAGGTGTACGATCCGGATCAATCCGAATTAGGCTTGGAACCGTTAGCCCAACCAAAAATAATAATTTTTCTCACAGTAACCTTATGACTTCACTTAGGAAAGATTCTTGACGAGAACAATTTCTCCATTGGCAAGTCTAATAAGTCTAGACGATGCCGTTTTAGATTATAAATGGATAAAATAACGTGATGGAAATGGAACCGAAGAGATGGAGCAGTAAAGGGGCTAACGACTCTTTGCCGTTGGGATTTGGGGGTTACAACTGCTCTTGTAGGCCTCCACTTTGAGGGCAAAACACTGGCGTGAGGATTTGTTTTGATAAAAAGAAAACAAAATGACGTTTATATGGACCCATTTCGGTGGCTAGGCTGTTATTAGAGTTAGACCCATGTGTGTTAAGAGTTGATTGGGCCAATATGTGTTCCTATGGGCTTGTGTTTGTTTTAGGCCACTTCCATTGGGGTATTTCTTTTTCATATTTTTTCCTGTAATTTGACTCGCCATATGGACATTTGAGAAGCCATCTTTTATATATATGTTTGTGATATAAGATTTCAACAACTTTTGCAATATTAAACTTACTCCGTATTTTTCTCTGCGACGGTTATCATTCTCTTGAGTGATTTTTAAATTTGTTATAGTAGCAGTTACTTTGTCATTTTTAGTTATATTTTGTCTTATTTACTATAATAATATTTTTGGAATTTTTTCTAGTAAAAGGTATCAAGACTACATATGTTTTTTTTACTCTCCGTTCAGTTTTTTATTATTTTTTTTTGTAAGTTTTTCCTGAATGCATGGTTGTTTTCCCGTGACATGATTCCTTTATTCGATTATACAATACAGTTCGTTGGTTATCGCATATATATGTCAGATGAGATTGTTGTTAAGGGGAGATTGCTTTGTTCATTGACCTTTTTGGTTCTTCTACATGTTTTCTCTCTTTCATGTTTGATGCTTGAAGCTTTTGATGGGTTCAATTTATGTACGTCGTTGTTTCACTTATTAATAGTTTTGTTTATAGGAGATCTCTAAGTGATTATTATTATATTTTATTTTCGATAGTCTCAGTTGTATTTATTTAATCTATAATTGACAAGACATTTGTTGATACAATTTTTGGTAAATGAATTTTATTGATTATTTAAAAAAAAATCAACCACTGAGATTCATTTGCTTACACCAAACAATAGAAGGAAATCTCTTCCCACAGGCTCAACTTATCGGCTGGTTTTTCATCTTTCAAGTAAATGACAAGAAAACTGGATATGGCAATATGGCATCTTAGTGGCCATGGATATATGTATTACGCCAGAATGCATGGTGTTTTGTGCAACATGAGCTTAAGAATAAAGCGACATTTAAACCAAAGGCGGCGCCAACTCTCCTCAAGCTTTCGCCAGCCATTTGTCATTCTCTGCACTTATATATATATATATATGGGTAGACTCACATTTTTTTATAAATTTTATATATATTTAAAATCGTAGAATAAATAAAAATATATTATTAAAATTAAATATTTATATTTTTTAATGAATATATTATTATTTTTATTATTAATCTCACTCATTTATTTTTTTTAACGTATATATATATATTCATTAAAAGATTTTACCATTTGAGACAAATTTTAGACAACTCATAATTTCATAATAAAAAAAACACTTAGAAAATTCATTCAAGATTCATCATTTATGATAATAGAAAAAGATAAGATTATATTTTACTTATCACTACTATTGTGATTGTTTGTTGTTGTATCATGTGATACCGACGTCCAACGTGCACTAACAAAGTCGAACAACTTGAGTTTGAAAGCCGTAACAGCAGCATCAAACTCTCAGCTTCATTATCCCTAACAGTTTATGGGCACCTTACCAGAGCCTGCAACTCCCAATCCCATGCAGTTTATGTACACTTTCTTTCCGTGAATCTGAAAGCAAACTTGTTTAGAATTACTTCCATAACAACTTAAAAACATAAGGAACAAAAAGAACATAACGACCTTATGACATTGAAAATGGATGCTGCTTATTTGCATTTCCGCCTCATACAAATCAAAACATTTTGTATCCGACGTCAACATGAAACCTACAGTCAAATAACTGCAACTTCACTACAAACCTCGTTAACATCATTACGTGGTAAGGCGAGATGATATTCATATCAACTTCGATGACTGCTGTAACGGTCTTGATATGCTACCTGATGTCAACCATTACAAATTTTCTTCATTTCGAGTGGTGACAATCAGGGTTTCAAATCGCAATCGTTTTCGGTCATTTCAGGTTTACCGTGATTGTGGTCGTCGCGGGCACTATTACGCCATCGTGGGCACTATTACGGGTATAGCGGATAACTTAGACGGCGGTGAAACCACTATTTCACGGGCGAAATCGCTATTTCGGACCGTGATTTGAAACCCTGATGTCAATAGCAAGCTTCAATCTTTGCTCTGCTTTTACAATACATCATAGGTTCTTGAGTTGAGAATGGAATAGGGAAAATTTTCTTCTTACAAACTAGCTAGGCATTATGATAGAGAGTAAATTTCTTTTTTATATGACCACCGGTATTCAATTTATTGATTGACTAATCCGGAATGAGTACTACAAAGACGAGAGAGACTCTTCCAACTCAGTTTGCTTCATTCGCAAAGGTCGTTGAGATTCAAACCATTGACATTGCTTAAGGGATCTAGTATCTCATCCCATTAAACCAACTGATTTTTTGTTATATAAGAGAATAAATTATTAAACTTTTTTTTACTTGAAATCAAATCAAATACAATGTAGTTTGAATTTAATTTTATAATCTTCTAATATTATTCTTCAATTATTAAACATTCTATTTTGTAATTAAAATGGAGTGAAATAAATAAAAAATACATGTTAAACCAATAATAATGGTATAATTATCCTTTTATTTAAAAATATTTAGTGATTTACATTAAAAAATACCCAAATCAAACAAGAAAATCAATTTTAGATCATTTTATTAGCACCTTGAACATTTTCTTAAAAATATTAAAAATAATAGCATAAGTTCATATATCTTAATGATTTGTTATAATTATTTACATAATATTTAAATTAAAAATTATGAACCAACAACCAGTTGGTTTAGTAGGATGAGGCACTAAGTCCCTTAAGCAAGATCAGAAGTTCAAATTCTGACGTTTGCGAATAGAGCAAACTAGATTGGGAGGGTCGTCCTCGCCTCTGTAGTACCCGATTTGGATTAGTTGATTATTAGATCAAATACCAATGTGATTAATTCAAAAAAAAATAAAAATTATGATTCTATACATAGGTGGTGACTTCTCACAGAAATAAGCAGTTTTAACTTTACTCTATTTCCCATGTAAAAACAGAAGGATCCAAGTTCGTAAGTGCAGTCGACAAGAAAAGAGAAACTAAAAACCATCATTTTATACTTTGGTTGTATAACTTCTAGCCTGTCGTTAAGATTTCATGTGAGTAGCCTGTAGTTAAGATTTCATGCGAGTGTGGTTTACCTATACTTCTATAAAATTCACCACTAAGCGGGGCCGCATCTTCGGCCCGGTACTTATCTCGACTGTTTACCTGAATTGTCATTAGTTTCTTGTTCTGAGAAATGATCTGCATGAGTTATCATGGAGAAGGGTTTTTACTTCCATAGCTTAACGCACTGGTCATGGCTTGTGGAAGCGATCATTTCAGTCTGTAGACAACCAGCCAGTGAAGAAATAAGTCCCTTGTGTGCTTCAACTGTCAATGTTTTGTTGGTCTCAATTGGATCCCATAATTCAAGAAACTGTTGAAAAAAAACAAATTTGATCTTAATAGAAAGATAGAATGGAATTAGCAAAGATTGCAAAAGGATGGCAGAGCGTTAAATGAACATTAGGCCAAGACAACGTCAGCCTATTAGGTTAGCAACCTAGTCTTTTTATGTTACAACTATATATTCATTTAAAAAACGCCTGCAAACATTCGAGGAACAGACAGAGTATTTTGTAAATAATATTCTGAATACTTCACCTGGTAGCCACCAATGACCAAGAGTTGCGATTACGCAGGATGAAATGTGCAGGACTGGAACTTGTTGCCTGTTGAGCGCAAGTCATGTAAGCATTCTCCCCCGGATACTGACCACACTCGTGCACTGTCTTCACTGATGGAGGCAATATACTTGCCACATGGATCCCAGCAAATTGAAAGTACATCTTTGTCATGCCCCTGAATGACTATAACAATCGTTCAGATAAGCAAGGAGCCAAATGGACTTTTAGATGCATGTTAAGTTATGATAACATAGAGAGTGAATCAATCTTCAAACAGAATTGAGGCTTGTTAGTCTCAATGTCAATAACATTGACAACATTCCCCGATGCAGTTGCAATTAACTTTCCTAGTTCCGGCTGGAATCGGACTTGTTTAGTAGCTTCCTGCAGTCACCTCATAAGGAAATTGTCATACGCATAAGTGAGGTATTCATTTGCAAGTACTTTAATATTTTCTAAACGAGTTTTCCAAAAAAAAAGAGAGAATAATTTGATGTTGTTAACACTTCCTTTCCACATAATTTATTTTGTAGAAACCCACAAGGATGCAAAACTAAAGATTCTAAAAATGAAGATTTCAACCATTTCAATGTTTGTCAAGCATAAACTCTCTCTAGAAGTATGCTGAGCTGAAATGCATAGCCAAGAAAAGATTTTACAAGTGATAATGATGTATGTCTTCGAGAAATTCTAATAGATATAAGGCTCAGAAACTGACCTTAGAGACATTAATGCAAGCACGTTGGTTGATATTCCATAATCGTATCTCGTTATTGTTATCACAGGAACAAAGAAGATCCACCTTTCTAGGGTGGAAATCCAAAGACAAAACTTTTTCAGCGTGCCTCGCAAGCTTGAAAAGTGATTTGCTTGGCTGCAGAGCAAAGAAATGAAGACATATTGCCAAACAGAAAATAAGTGCAGTGGAGTAGTCTGCCCCTCTAAACAACAAAAAGGGCCCCATAGAAGACATTAATTATGAAATAGCCTATCTTCATTCTGAACAAGCAGACAGAAATTTAGCAAATACTAAATAAATATCTGATAAAATTACAAAAGAAAATTGTTACTTTGGCAGAATCCCATATTTGGACAGTTTTGTCAAAAGATGATGTTGCAAATATGGTTGAACTTTGTCTAAAACTAACATCAGTAATGAGAAGAGAATGGCCCTCCAAAGTTCTAACAAAATCAAGGGTTTCCAGATTCCATGTCAAGCCCTGACAAAAGAAAACTGCAATTAGCTCTAGGCTTATACAAAAAATTGTTTGAACAAAAAGCTGCATTGCACCTTAACACCGCCTTCTTTTCATGCCCTGCACTCTCTAGAAACTTCCCATTTGATGAAAAATGGCAGCTCAAGACTTTGCTTTTGCTTGAGTGGAGGTAACTAACTTCTTCAAATGTGAAGCCTACACCAGTGATACTCCTCAACATCATCATCATCATGGGACAGAAAAGAATCAACGGTGTCATCAACAGGTTTATACTCCTCAGCCTATATTATCCTGCAGATGAACATTCCATGAAGCAGGCAACAATCATGATGCAAATAAAAGCAAAAAGATCGGCTCAAAGAAAATAAAACAAGCAAAATGATACAGAGGAAGTATGGATCAATAAAATATGATGGCATTCTCTACTAACACGGGTCAAATTTCTGTGAAACTTTAAGCACACTTCTTTTTCACTTGGCAGGACTTAAACATCTACGCTGTCAAAAATTGGCTCGAACAAATATTAGTTAACATGCCACTTACATCCAAAGGCATCCATTCAGTGGTGCTGGGTCGATTGATTTAATCAAGGCTGAAAAGATAAAGACCACAACTTTGATATATATAACATAGAAAAAATTAAAGCAGGTCCAGTACTATGTGCATCTCCTGCTTGTCAAAATATATCATATATCCATAATTCATCCCATCTTTGAATATACACAAGTAAAAACGAATCAGATTTTCCAACATTAACTCCAATCAGACAAAAGTGCAAACCAACCTGCAGCATGAGGCGAAGTTATAGGAATTTTGCCTTTTTGTGCCCCATAGGGGGTGACTGAATTAATAGGAAAGGTAATTCCCAAATTATTGCCTTGAATTTGTTCCTGTAGATTGAAAAGAGTTTCTAACATTTAGAGAAATTAATGACAACTAGTTGGTTTTATTTAGTTGAGATTCTACGCTCTTAACTTGATGCTGAGTGAGATTTATCTGTCGTTGCAGAAGGCTGATACAAGAACAAATGTGAAAGATCGTATAAAAAGGGTGAAACACTTTACTTATTAAAACGCTGAGCATTTCCAAGATGAAAATCTCAGTTCACATTGTATGTTTTGTGTTGGCAGGAGGGAAATAAAAAAGCCAAAGAAACTACGAACTGTTTGTCAATTATACAAGCCTTCATTTCAGTAAAACACAAATATTACCTTGAACTGGCTGCGAATGAGTTGGGGAGCCTCAGTTGATTAGTTTCAAGTACTAGATTACTGGAATCAGAGTATCTGGGAATAGGAACCTGTCTAGCTAGCCATTTGGCGATTTATCATCAATTGCTGCGAAAACATTGGACCGAGATTCTGTGATTGATCTTCCACTTTTTCAGCCTGAGATACGGACAATAATAATGTAAGTTTATGAGGCTGGCAACAAAAAAATACTACCGCTCAACGTGATCTCAAATTCCACAAACATTTACCTCAATAGAGGTTTCTGCCTCAGAGTGCCCTTGAAGCTTTGTTTGCCTAGTAAAACATCATTTAGGTCCGACAAATCTTTTAGTTTATTATTCTCTTTTAAACTAAAGAGGGCTTCTCTTCCTTCACTTTCTTACAAATCAACATCCAACATCATCCAAGATCTGGTGCCTTCACTTCTCAATCGAAATCCCATCGTGAACATCTTCCATCTCTTCTTCTCGGCCTCTTCATTCCTTCTATTTAAGATTTAAGTATATTTTACTGCAAACAAAGATTCTTCAAGTTAGATTAAAACTTAATATTGAATATCTAGTTCATATTTTCAAATTAACAATAATAAATCACTACAAGCAATTGTATTTTCAGTTACACTACAAATAGTCACTAAAAATATTAAATTTAGTCACTAAATATTATCGTGACAATTTTTGAGTAGTCATTTGTCATCATTAGTAACTCCATCACTATTATATTAAAAACGACTTTAATAAATTTTGTCACAATTATTTATATTTTTTTGGCTATATTTTTTGACACATAAATCTAATAATAGTGATGAAAATTTAAACACTGATATTATCATCATTAGTGACAAATATTTTATGACAACTACATGATTAAATTAATTATTAAAAAACTATTATGAAATTAATTATTAGTATATATTGCATTTTTAGTTGTATCCAATTTCCTTGTCATTAGTTAGGTTATCATCAGTTAATTATTCGTTAACGATGAATGATGTGACAGATCACGGATCTGGTGTCTCATCCCACGAGACTAAATGGTTGTGGTTGCTAGTTCTACATGTTATTTTTGATAAATTAATACAATACATGTATTTTAAGATGATCGAACCTAGGACCTTCAGGTGATTCTGGTTGGCTAGTGTTGAAAGTATTAAAATGGTTTTCAAGTTTGGTAACCAACTTTGAAAAAATGGTTTTCAAAGTTTGGTAAATGTTTCTTTGAAAATGGTTTTCAAAGTTTGGTAAATGTTTCTTTGAAAAATAGTTTTTCAAAGTTTGGTAGATGTTTGTTGAAAAATGATAATGGGATAATCACAACTAATCCCTAGGTTTTAGGGTATTTACAAGATTAAGTCCTTAAGTTTTAATTATAAATACCCTAGCTCATTTAGCTTCAAAACCATTCCAAAAATCATTTCTTTCTCCCAATACTAGAGAGCTTTCTTGTGAGTAGTGAGTGTTTTGTAAACACCTGTAAATTTTCTCTCTTAGTAAAAGATCTGCAGCAGTCCGGAGACGTAAGCACAATTGGCTGAACTCCATTATCAATTTCGGGTATTATTTTTCTGCTTTTATTTCGTATTCTCACTAATCTGATAATAGAGAAATTACTTGTACTTGGTTTATTTCCTAACAACTGGTATCAGAGCTTTTGGTTGTGAATTCTGTCAATTTTTTGCGGGGTTACTATTCGGGTTACTATTCACATGAATAGTGAATTTCGTGAATAGTGAAATTCGATCAGCGATACGAGTTTGTCGACGGAGGTGTTCTAATACACGTCGGTTCGCGGAAATTGTCAGAAACGATCCAAACGAAGCCAGATTCGAGTGGGAGCGATGGCTGCAGACGAAGGGAAGGTGAAAATTGAAAAGTTCGATGGTGCGGACTTTGGATTTTGGAAGATGCAAATTGAAGATTTTCTATACCAGAAAAATCTATATCAACCCCTCTCAGGAAAACAACCAGAGGGCATGAAGAATGAAGACTGAGCTCTTCTCGACAGACAAGCCCTCGGAGTTATCCGACTGACGTTATCCCGCAATGTTGCTTTCAACATAGCAAAGGAAAAGACCACGGCAGGTCTTATGACGGCTCTCTCCAGTATGTATGAGAAGCCATCGGCCTCAAACAAAGTTCATTTGATGAGGCGATTATTTAATTTACGGATGACGGAAGGGGCATCGGTGGCACAACACCTAAATGAACTCAACACAATCACAACCCAGTTGAGTTCAGTGGAAATTGAATTTGATGATGAAGTTCAAGCTTTAATTCTCTTATCATCTTTACCAGACAGTTTGAATGCTACTGTTACAGCAGCCAGCAGTTCGTCGGGAAACATCAAATTAAAATTCGACGATGTTCGGGATCTGGTACTGAGCGAAGAAATTCGACGGAGAGAATCGGGTGAAGCATCAACCTCCTCAGCCTTGCACACAGAGTCCAGAGGGAGAACTTCAGAAACAAATTCAAATCGTGGCAGATCGAAATCCAGAAGGGGAAAGTCAAGAACAAGAAATAAAGATTTTACCTGTTATAATTGCGGCAAGAAGGGCCACTTCAAAAGAGATTGCCGAGCACCGAAGAAAAATACCGGCGCACAGGAATATGCCAACATGACGGAGGAGACAGGTGATGCTATGATTTTAAGCGTCAACAGTCCGATTGAATCATGGATTTTGGATTCAGGGGCATCTTTCCACTCCACCCCATGCCGAGAAATCATGGAAAATTATGTCAGTGGTGATTTTGGGAAGGTTCATCTAGCTGATGATGAAACCTTAAAGATCGTCGGAAAAGGAGACATCCGACTAAAGTTGCCAAACCAAACCACCTGGACGCTGAAAGGAGTGAGACATATTCCTGGCCTCAAAAAAAATTTAATTTCTGTAGGACAGCTTGATGGTGAAGGATTTAGCACAACCTTTTCAGGCTATGAATGGAAGATTACCAAAGGAGCACTCGTCATTGCTCGTGGTAAGAAAACTGGTACTCTCTATATAACATCAAATTTAGAGAATATCATTGCAGTAGCAGATGCTGATGGAAAATCAAACGTATGGCACCAAAGGCTTGGCCATATGAGCGAGAAAGGGATGAAGACACTTTTGTCAAAGGGGAAGCTACCGGATCTAAAGAATGTAGATGTCGGACTATGCGAGGATTGCATCTTTGGAAAACAAAAGAAAGTCAGCTTTGCAAAGATTGGTAAGACACCCAAGGCTGAAAAGTTAGAGTTAGTTCATACTGATGTATGGGGACCATCTCCAGTTTCATCTCTTGCAGACTCATTATAATATGTCACCTTCATCGATGATTCTACAAGGAAGGTGTGGGTTTATTTTCTGAAGAAAAAAACCAGAAGTCTTTGATACCTTCAGAAAATGGAAGGCCATGGTGGAAAATGAGACTGGTATGAAAGTCAAGCGATTGAGGTTTGACAATGGAGGAGAGTACAGAAATAGGAGATTCAGAGATTTTTGCGCAAACAATGGGATCAAGATGGAGACAACAGTTCCCATGACACCGCAGCAGAATGGCGTAGCAGAGCGCATGAACAGAACTCTGAATGAACGTGCCATAAGCATGAGGATACATGCCGGATTGCCCAAATTTCTATGGGCTGAAGCTATCAACACTGCAGCTTACCTGATCAACCGTGGGCCCTCAGTTCCTTTGGATGGCAGAATACCAGAGGAAGTTTGGAGCAAGAAAGAAATAAACCTTTCACACTTAAGAGTGTTTGGTTGTATTTCTTATGTACACATAGAATTTGCTGAAAGAAGTAAACTTGATGCTAAGTCCAACAAATGTTCCTTTGTTGGTTACGGCGGTGAAGAGTTCGGTTAACGGTTTTAGGACTATGAAAATCGGAAGATCATTAGAAGCAGAGATGTCATTTTCAATGAGAATGTGATGTATAAATACAAGTCAACTGTAGAATCAAGCAGCTCCAATACCAAAGCTGAAACAAAGGAATTTATTGAGTTTGAGGAGATTTCTGGAAATGATGTTCAGATCAGTCCTGAAGCAGTTCAAGAAGAACCAGGCACACCCGAACTAAGACGCTCCTCCAGAATTCCTAAACCAACCCAACGGTATTCTCCTTCTTTGCACTACTTGTTGCTGACTGACAATGGTGAACCAGAGTGCTATGATGAAGCAATGCAAGTGGAGGATTCAGTCAAGTGGGAGTCTTCCATGAAAGATGAGATGGACTCGCTTTTTATCAAATCAGACGTGGGAATTAGCTGAAATACCACCAGACAAGAAAGCGCTTCACAACAAGTGGATTTACAGGATCAAAGAAGAGCACGATGGGAGCAAACACTACAAAGCGAGATTGGTTGTCAAAGGTTTTCAGCAAAAAGAAGGTATTAACTACAATGAAATTTTCTCTCCAGTCGTGAAACTGTCTACAATCAGACTGGTGTTGAAAATTGTAGCTGTAGAGAATTTACATCTTGAGCAGTTAGATGCAAAGACAGCTTTTCTTCATGGTGATTTGGAGGAAGAAATCTATATGAGGCAGCCAGAAGGCTTCATAGAGGCAGACAAGAAAAACCTGGTATGCAGGTTGAAGAAGAGCTTGTATGGTTTAAAACAAGCTCTTAGACAGTGGTACAAGAAGTTCGATAGTTTCATGAGTAGTAGTGGTTTTACCAGATGCCAAGCAGATCATTGTTGCTACATCAAGAGGTTCGATAATAGCTTCATTGTATTGCGACAGTCAAAGTGCTATACATCTAGCAAAGAATCCGTCTTTTCATTCCAGGACAAAGCACATACAATTGCGATATCATTTTATCCGGTCTCTTCTGGAAGATGAGATTTTGAAACTTGAAAAGATCAGTGGAGCTCAAAATCCAGCAGATATGTTGACAAAGACGGTGACTACAGACAAACTGAAGTTGTGTTCAACTTCAGTTGGCATGCTAGAGTAACAAGACTAGAAAAGCTGTTGCATTGATTGAGGTGTGAAGACAGATTAAAATCAGTCTTCAAGTGGGAGATTGTTGAAAGTATTAAAATGGTTTTCAAGTTTGGTAACCAACTTTGAAAAAATG